TCTAACAAAATAAGTGCTTTTCTGATGGCAATGTTGACTTTGCCAGTTAGATGGATGATTAGTAATCGATGGGTTGGGGTTCAGATCGTGATTTACTAGGTTGTGCTCACTTTGGGTCATGTTTTATGACAATACTAACTGATGAAAAATAAATCCGCGTCAATTCGATATTTGAGCACAATTGCGAAAATAAAATCCCCTATCAAGTCCCAAGAATCCTAAAAAACTCTCTAAAGGCGTTAAAGATGCTGATATAACTGAGAATGCCAACATCAAAAATATAACGAAGAAACCACCACTAACTAAACCAGCCGCATGCAGTATGTTAGGAAAGCTGATCAAAATTATTACATACAAAACAGACTTTGCATAAATTAATTGACAAAATATGGGGCAGTCGGCTGCTAATTGTGGCCAATAATAATAAACAGACTCGCATGTAACAATAGATCTGTTTATAATCATGGTTATTCTTTGCATCCTGCTGCCATTCTATTGCCTAATCGTATGGACGCTGATGAAACGGCTGGAAATGTTTATGTAATAAACGCGAGGAATTTAGAAAAATGCAATAATGGACTTGTACGTGTAAAATTTTAATTTCCGAGATGTAGCCGTCTGGTAAATGAGCTCTCCACATGCGTTACCAGCAGCCTCCGAGCAAACAGGATTGCGTCAATCGAAGTGAAAAAAAAAAAGTGAAGGCACGGATGTTCCGACCAAAATCTAATCTAAATAATAAATAAGAAGTCGTGTATTCGTGTCCGATGGGATGCTTCAGGTACGTTCTCTCTTCCATTTTTGTTACCCAGCCTGTTATTGTTACCTTTTCAGGCGCAATTGTGTATGACGACCTTCAAATACCTCGGCTTGATTGTTCCATAAAAGCTCATCGGACAAAACGGAAATTGACAATTTCGTATCTACGGTCACGGATATGTATGTTCGTATACTGAAAAATCGCAAAATTTGCCACACAAATCTACAGGAAAATAACAGCACGGATATTATGGTTAATGATAGGAATCATCAACAGAGGACAAAGTAGGTTTACTTGCAACAACAGCGTTATTTCATAAAAAAAAAATATGGATGCACTATGGATGAACCAAAGCTCCGTTTTAATTTTTTTAAACTCGCATCCCAAACTCTGAACTGGTTGATCAGAAACACGCTTCAGAAGGGCATGGTGCAAAAATGAAAAACCGCAAAAAATCTTACTCAAGTTCAAGAACTAGTTATCGAGAAACCAGTAGATCGAATGAGACCAGATTCACCTCACTTGTAAAATGAAGGTTCCTTTTCGATTTTTTGAAACCCGCATATGAAGAACTGAAGCAAGTAATCAGAAGCGGGCATCAGAAGGACGAGGTGCAAAAATAGAAAATCGTCCAAAATTTTACTCAAGTACAAGAACTAATTATGAAGAAACCAGTGGATCGACTGAAACCAGATTCACATCACATGTAAAATGAAGGTTCTGTTTCGATTTTTTGAAGCCCGCATATGAAGAATTGAAGTAAATAATCAGAAGCGGGCATCAGAAGGAAGAGGTGCAAAAATGGAAAACCGCCCAAAATTTTACTTAAGTACAAGAACTAATTATGAAGAAACCAGTAGATCGGATGAAAACAGATTCACATCACACGTAAAATGAAGGTTTCGTTTCCAATTTTTGAAACCCGCATATGAAGGACTGAAGCAAATGATCAGAAGCGGGTATCAGAAGGACGAGGTGCAAAAATCGAAACCCGCCCAAAAGTTTACTCAAGTTCAAGAACTAATTATGAAGAAACCAGCGGATCGAATGAAACCAGATTCACCTCACATGTAAAATGAAGGTTCCGTTTCGATTTTTTGAAGCCCGCATATGAAGAACTGAAGTAAATAATCAGAAGCGGGCATCAGAAGGACGAGGTGCAAAAATCGAAACCCGCCCAAAAGTTTACTCAAGTTCAAGAACTAATTATCAGGAAACTAGTGGATCGAAGAAAACCAGATTCACCTCACATGTAAAATGAAGGTTCCGTTTCGATTTTTTGAAGCCCGCATATGAAGAACTGAAGTAAATAATCAGAAGCGGGCATCAGAAGGAAGAGGTGCCAAAATCGAAACCGGCCCAAAAGTTTACTCAAGTTCAAGAACTAATTATCAAGAAACTAGTAGATCGAATGAAACCAGATTCACCTCACATGTAAAATGAAGGTTCCGTTTCGATTTTTTTGATTTTGAAATCCGCAAATGAAGGGTTGATGCAAATGATTAGAAACGGGCATCAAAAGGACGAGGTGCAAAAATGAAAAACCGCTCAAAAATTTACTCAAGTTCAAGCATCAATTATCAAGAAACCAGAAAATCGAATAAAACCAGGCTCACATAACATGTAAAATGAAGGTTTCTTTTCGATTTTTTGAAACCCACATAAGAATTTCTGAAGCAGGTAATTAGAAACGATCAAGAGAAGGATCGGGTGCACAAATCAAAAAACACAAAACATTTTGCTCAAGTTCAAGAATGAATGAATCATGAAGGAACCAGTGGCTCGAGTGAAACCAAATTCACATAACATGAAAAATCAAGTTTCTTGTTCCATGTTTTGAAACAGGCATTGAAATGTCTGAAGCGAGTGATTAGAAACGATCATGAGAAGGACAACATGCAAAAATAAAAAAGCGGAAAATATCACCCAAGTTCAAAAATAAATTATGAAGGAAGAACCAGAGGATCGAATGAAACAAAATTAAGATCACATGTAAACCATGGCTTCTATTTCATTTTCATTCATTTTTTTTGAATCTTTATATGGATCTCTAAAACAGGTGATCATGAGAAGGACCGGGTGCAAAAATAAGCAAACATTTTCACCAAAGTTCAAGAATGAATTATGAAGGTACCAGTGGATCAAGTGAAACCAGATTCACATTACTCGGAAAGCAAAGCTTCTTTTTCCATTTTTCTTTAAACCAGCATTAAAATGGCTGAAGCGGGCCTTAGAAACGGCCAAGAGAAGGGCAGGGTTGAAAAATAAAAAATCGTAAACACTTTGACGCAAGTTCAAGAATGAATTATGTAGAAACCAGTGGATCGAATGAAACCAAATTCACATCGCCTGTAAACTGGGGCATTCTTTACAAGTTCATAAAATCCGTATTCGGATATATTAGCCCACAGTTCAGAAACGCACTTTCGAAAAATCTGGGGCAAAAATAAAAAGCTGCACAAAAACTTGGCAAAGTTCAAAAAATAATTAGGCCCGAACGACTGGCCCGAATAAAGCCAAATTCGCCCTAAACGTGATGTTGATTCGCCCTAAATGTAACCTAAAGCCTCCTTTATAATGTCCTGAAGTTCGCATTCCTATATTTTCAAACGGTTGACCGAAAACGGGCTTCAGAACAGCAATATGAAATTAAAAACGAGCAAACTTTCGACATGGCGCATAATTAAAAATCCTTCGTAAACACCAGCTAACAAAACTAGATCAGCGAAAAAAATCCATAACTTTCATCCTTGTATTATGCGAATTGTCTACATAAAATCGAAAACAATGCCCTCGAAAAATATGCATATTTATAAACTATTGTTTAATGTATTGTAATCATCATACACCTGGAATCGTCACCGCATAATATAAAGAAAAGCATTATTTTTTATGCGATGCAAAGCAAACTGGCCAGACCAAGTATGTCAATTGAAAACATATTTTAACCATTAGTCTGTTTCTGTTCAACAAAACACACACGGTCACGTCGATATCAAGGTAATCGTTGAATAATCATTAAGTATTTATCGATAACAATAAAATCGTCGGTCATAATCAGGGCAAGCTATATACGCTTTTGTTCAGGTAGTTGCTTGTTTAATAGCGGCTAATTTATACTAAAATGGTTTTCATAGATTTCTGATAATCAGACGCAACCTGTGAAAATTCCTCGTTCTACTAAACCGTCTTTGAAGAGCGCCTAAAGCGAAAAAAACAGCTTTCTTGACTGGTAAGCTGCTTAAAGAAGAAAGGGCAATAAATATGTTGTAAAGTCGCATTATCCCATGCCTCTTAATGACATATTTAACGTAAACACCACAGCGAATTTCGTGTTTCCCAAAACCCATTTACAATTTTATTGCCGCCTTGTAAATCCAAACTATCGCTAATGGATACCGTTAAGAGATTTTAGTGCATTTCTCCACTTTGCGGCAGGCAAAGCGCGTTTCAATAGTTTGAAAATTCTACATTATAATATATGGCCCATAAAAGTAAAACATTTCAAATCTTGCGAGAACACTTTAAGTCGAGGACAACAAATCACGTGCTTGCCTAATTTGGTACCGCTGGGTTCCAAACCACTTTCTTTTATACTTTGTTAAAACAATAACCCGATTTGTTTGACTCATTCTTCTGTGAAATGGTGTATCGCTTTTGGGGGATTTGGAGACGTTTTGTTTCGTCATGGTCGCTTTGTACAACAACAACCAGAACATGGGTTATTGAAAACAATTGGGACTAAAACAGATCCATTATTCTGGTCTGTTTCGGCCAAAAGTGTGCCCACTTACCTCTTGTAATGTGTTGGGATTTTTCGTGGTTTTATTTAGGTATCTTTCTTGATTTTGGCAAAATTTTGCAGTCTGTTTCTCGAACTTTTTCTTTTCGCTTTTCACGCCGCCGATGTATTTTTTCCGAAACTCCTCCAGTGGCTTGAGAACGGAGGAATTGGCGTTCTCCAACTGAAACAACAAAGGAAAATGTGTGATTATTTCAGCTACGGGTACATATTTGATGAAGAAAAATATTTTATGCAAAGTGTTTTATGCAAAGCAACCCATTTAGCGCATTCAAATTGCCATCAAATTTCGCATAAAAATGTGTTGTTTTCTTTGGGCGAAACATACGTTGAATAGCAAAGTATTAACAAATCTCGGTTGGAAACTATTGATGTCTGAAAACTCACCAGAAGACAATTCACAACCATTTTGGAAGCAAATTTGACCGATTTGAACGACTACCAAAAACCCACGTTATATTTTCGCAACATTCGCCAGATTCTTATTAAAATAGGCTTTTATGAACGATCGTTTTGTGACATTGTGCATACGTTGTGAGTTAAATAAAAGGCAAAATATTCCCTCAAACGCGTATTGTTCGATATGCAGGTGATTTTTTCATGGCCCTGTATAAAGAACGGTTATCTAAAGCACTGCGCTATTAAGGCAATGAAACTACGGTTGAAAAAAATAACCGCATACCGCATCTCTATGGCCGACAACTAGTCATTTACTATTGACTCAGTTATCATTATGTAACGGAACAAAAAAAAAACATGGCAATTATTTAATTTTAAAAAGCTGAAAGAAAAACGTAGATTTTCCTGCTGGTAATTCGAATATAAAGGATACAAGGCATAAATAAAACCTCAACCCGACCTAAGTCAGTTGTTATTATCACTGCACCCACTGGGGTTATCAGCAAATATTCAATAAATCAGGCCACTTCAA